CATCCAGGGATGGAGATGCTCCCAGCTGTAGCACACCCTCCTCTGCCAAATAACGCGGTCTTGGCTTTGTCGCGTTCTCTTGGAAAATGAGTCTCTGGTTGTGCGTATCGTGATTTAAATATAATTATAGGTTTCGGTAAACGAGATTATATTTTTCAAAAGATGTCCATAAAATCGTGTCTGGAGTCTCTGGCTGAGTCGCAGGGCGCTGAAGTCAGGAGTGTAATTATTTTCTTTGCTTTTTTTTAGAGCGACGTTTCGTTTCATCTTTTCTGGGATGGAGATTTCCTCTCACCAGTTTCACCTCTTGCAGCAACTGAATGAGCAGCGCAGGCAGGACCTGTTCTGTGACTGCAACATCCTGGTGGAGGGAAAGGTCTTCAAAGCCCATCGCAATGTGCTGTTTGCCAGCAGCGGCTACTTCAAAATGCTCCTTTCACAGAGCTCGAAGGAGACGAGTCAGTCCACGACAGCCACCTTCCAGGCCTTTTCTCCTGACACCTTCACGGTCATCCTGGATTTCGTGTATTCAGGCAAACTGTCTCTCACTGGTCAGAATGTCATCGAGGTCATGTCGGCCGCCAGCTACCTGCAGATGACCGACGTTATCAGCGTGTGTAAAACCTTCATCAAGTCCTCGCTGGACATCAGCGAGAAGGAGAAGGATCGTTACTTCAGCCTCTCGGACAAAGATGTGAGTTCCAACGGCGTGGACCGATCCTGCGCCTACAGCGGGGGCTGGAGGGCGGAGAGCAGCCCCCCCCATTCCCACTCCAGCCCAGACCCGGGGACTTGTATGATGGGCGGGAACACTTGGAGCAACTTCAACTACTACCCGGCTTCTCAGAGGAACGCCCAGCAGCAGCTGTCCAAACACGAGCAGCGGCAGGATTCCGTCAAGAAATCCCGGCACCTGGGGCTGCAGCAGCCCTCGGACATCCCCCACTATAAATCCAGCAAGCTGGAGGACAGGGCTGCCGAGCCCGCCGGCCACCCCGCGCCGCCCGAGGAGCAGGTTCACATCGACGCGGAGGTTGAGACTCCTCACGTGGGCTACCAGTACGGCCAGGGCTCCGAGGGGATGCCGAGGGGCTTGGCTGTGTCCCAGCAGGAGCACGAGTCGCCCCGTCCCTCCGGCAAATCCAAGTCCTCCAAGGCTGACGAGCAGTACGGGAACATGCCCTCCATCCTCGGGGTCATGGGGAACTGGGCCGAAGGTGAGCGGGGTATTACCTGGGATGTTAAACCAACCTTTCAAAGTGAATCTAGCTTGTGATCTTCTGGGATATTTTTAACCTCATTTTTGTAGAATCCCAGAATGGTTTGGGTGGGAAGGGACCTTAAAGACCATCTCCTTCCACCCCCCCTGCCATGGGCAGGGACACCTTCCATGAGACCAGGTTGCTCAGAGCCCCATCCAGCCTGGCCTTGCCTGGGCTGTGATAACACAGCTAATGCTCCACTCCTCCTTTGTTGCACTTCTGTGTTATCTACAGCAAAACACAGGATCTTTGTGCTCCAAAGGACCTATGATAATATTTTTTTTTTAAGTAAAAAGCCACGTGCTATTCTGCTCGTAAAATCCCTTTTCCTAAAGTGTGACGTGACACCTTATGACTTCGTTTTGGGGGGTTTAATTTATCTTCTGACAGATGACCTGTCCAGGATGAGGTTCAAGTGCCCGTTCTGCAGCCACGTGGTGAAAAGAAAAGCCGACCTGAAGCGTCACCTTCGCTGTCACACAGGAGAGCGCCCGTACCCCTGTGAGGCCTGTGGGAAGAGGTTCAGCAGGCTGGATCACCTCAGCAGCCATTTTCGAACAGTATGTACTTTTAGGAGCTGCCTGATTTTTGTTTAATGTGCAAACCCTGCCTAATTAAACACAGTGGGAGCGTATCTGGTTGATAGAATCGACTCCCGTAAAGAAGGAGGTAATAGAGAATTAATTTGGTTTTGCTGCAGGCAATTTGAAGCGTGATTTGTAGGAAAATGGGGGGGAGGAATCTCTTGATTAATTGGTGGTTTGCAGAGGTGCTGTAAAGGAGCTACAGTGCCAGGGATGGGGCAGTTTAGTGTTTGATGCCCCTTAAAGTGAGTTAACGCCGCTTATTTTGAGTTAACGCCGCTTATTTTGATACCACTCCAACCCCGCTTTTTTTTTGTCGCCTTTGTGGATGTTGTATCCAAACTGTCCGTGTGGCTTTTCCCAGATCCACCAGGCCTGCAAGCCCATCTGCAGGAAGTGCAAGCGGCACGTGACGGAGCTGACGGGGCAGGTGGTGCAGGAGGGGACGCGCCGGTACAGACTGTGCAACGAGTGCCTGGCCGAGGCCGGCATAGACAGTATCCGCATTGACTTGGAGACTGAGGCGCCCCTGGAATTCCCACAGGACGGGGACAAGGATTCCAGGTGGCACTACGGCGAGGACAACAGGTCTGACGTGGAGATAGTGGAGGACGGGTCGACCGACCTGGTCATCCAGCAGGTCGACGACAGCGAGGACGAGGCGGAGGAGAAGGATGTGAAACCAAATATTAGGTAGCTGCCAAGAGGAGAATCGGGAATCCCGTGGGAAGAGGGAGAATGTACTGACCACACACACCCTCCACCAGCTGTTGTTAATCCTGCAGAGACACGTGGTTGAACAGGTCCAGGCTTGCATGTATTTATGGACGCGCCGCTGAGTCCGGTCTGGTTTGTTCTCTGAACCCTCCAATACTTTGCTTCGTGAGAAAGAATCCATCCTTAAATAGTGGATGAAGGAGGAAACTGCAGTATTCCATGGATAACTGTTTATAGCAGACAGTGGGGCACGTCTCAAAGCCTTTTTTTTCAAGGGAGTGAGGTCTAAATATTTTAAAACAGTCGCAGAGTGTCGTGAATTGCCCACTTTTTACACTTGTAGGGATGTGGGGTTTATGTCATGGGGTGATAAACAAAGTGTAAAGACCCCCCCAAACCAGGCAACCTCGCTTCAGTATTCATAAGGGAAGAGAATCTTCCATGAAATTCCATGTTATTCTTCGTAAGGAAAAAGGCAGCTAATTAAGAAAGAGCATGTAAAATGTTTTGGCACTTTTGTCTGGAAAAGGACTCCTGTAAAATTTATTACAATAAGGCAAATCTTTAGCAGATCACTCACCCAAGACCTGTTTCTTTACAAGAAAATAAGCACAGGAATGCCAGTCCTAGTCAACACATCCGAGACAAATTAATTATAAATATGGATCGTTAATTGATGCCAGGAGATGTTTCGTTCTCAAAATTGGGCTCTCAGACTGGGCTGTTTTAATAAACACTAATAAAATACTCTCTTTTGTTAAAAAACCTCTCAAAAGTGCCAGACAGGGTGGGGTTGTTGGGGTTGTCCTGGGCAGGGCCAGGAGTTGGACTTGGCTGATCCTTGTGGGTCCTTTCCCACTCAGGATATTCCATCCTGTGACCCTTCTCCAGCCTGTACAATGTGAGAACAAGATGTACTGGAAGTTGTAGGCATCACATTTGTGTAATTTCACCTACAATTAGGCTACAAGAGGTCGGGAAGGATGAAGAAATTTGACTTCTCTAACAAAATAAGCCACTTTGTCGTGTTGCTCAGTGAGTTTATCTTACCCAGCACTGTAAACGGGAGAGAAGCAGAAGGTGCTCCCAGGGTGCTGCTACTCTGCATTTTTTGGACAGACCTGAGTGTTATTCCAGTTCTTCATCCCAGGATCATGGGACTCAATGGCTGTAAGACTTAGAAAACTCCAATTTGTTTCTTTTTTTACAGCTTTGTAAGCATGTTTGGCTGAACCCCGGGGTTTATTACAGAACAATCCCATATGTATATATATATATACACTATATAATCTTTCCCAGGGACAGCTGAAAAAAAAATCACTATTTTATTTTTATTCGTGTAAAAACTGTATAACCTTATTAGTATCATCATGACCAGAGGTTTTTTTTTTAGTACCGTCATTCCAAGCTGCAGGTGACCAGCCCAAGGTTTCTTAAATGATAACTCAAGTGCTTCCTGCCAAGTTCAGTGTAAGCACCAAGCACCCTCCCCTCAGACAGTCCAGGCTGGTGGGAATCATCCTGCTTGGATGTCCCAAGGAAACAAGAAATGGTTATTTTATCATTCCTACAAAAATCACCATCACTGGCTTAGGATTTGGAGGGGAGAACTTACAAAACTTTCTGATGGCCACCATGAAAACATCTTTACAAACAAGACTTACACTGGGCCTCGATTTTATTTGATGCTTGGTCAGCAGCCCAGAAATGGACTCGGTGGGAAAACAGACATTTAATTTTCTTGGAGCTTTTTTTTTTTTTTTACTCCTGAAATGCCTGTTATTAAACGGCTCAGAAATATTCCTGAGCAACCTGAACTAGATCAGAGAACAAGAAAATCTATCAAAGAATATGGAGAGACTTGGATCAAATTCCAAGATGTTTCCCTTTACATTAAGCAGTATGACAATAAATTCCAGGTATCAGTGCCTGCTGTCCCAGGATACAAAGTGACTGGGCTTAGTCTGTGTGTGTTTGGGATGGATTAAGGGGAGGGGAAAATAAAGTGTCTCTCTAGGCCTGAAATCTTAACTGCCAACTGCAAAGGTCAGACTATTAAACGTTTCTTGATAGTGGGGGTGTTTTTAGAAGCAGAGGGATTTTTGGATCAATACTCAATTTAATTAGACGCCATAAATCTAAGAATACTGAGGACCAGATGCTTCAGAACAAGACCTGAAGTGGCTCTAAATGGGCAAGTGGAACAGTCTATCCACAGGAAGACAAATTAATTTTTACACAGGGGCAGATAAATCGTTGATTTGCCGGGCAAACAAGGGCTTTTACTGGTTTTATATGTGGATGTTATTCTCAGTAGCATAACTAGGTATCTGTAGTCATTTTTAAAGTATCTTATTAAGCTTGGAGTTTTAGCTCAAGACTGCGATTCCCACAGGTCAATTACGTTTTTATATTTTTTGAAAGTTACCATTTTTGCATTTGTTGCCTTAATTTTGGTTGTTGTTTCCTTATTTTTGTATTGCAAGACGAGATAAATGTTAAGTGCCTTCTGTTTTCTACGTCCTTCATTTTACATAACCAGTCACACCTTTTCCTTGTTTCTCTTGAAATGAAAGTTATTTGTTTTATTTTTGCCTCCTGCCATTGCCTGATTGTCTTCTTCATATCCCTGTGAGGATCATCTACCACTCAGCAGCAGAATAACATTTTCCTTCTTTTCAAGGAGGAAAGTAAAGACCATATAGGGACGTTCCCACTGACTTTAATTTTTTTCCTTGCATTTCTTTCATCTTCGTGTCTCTTAGGCACAAGGTTTAGTGCTGGACTTGATCTTAAAGGTGTTTTCCAACCCAAACCATTCTGTGATTCTTTTTGCTTGGCTTGTGTTTATTGTTGTGTTCACAAACCACAGGCAAGAGTGAAGAAAAAAAGTCATCATCATCCTCTGATTAGTGTCTCACCTCTAACTGTCCCTGTTTTCTGGCAATATCTTGCCATCCTTTCAAAGGCTGAAATGCTGAATTAAAAAATTCTCTTTGCCCCTTTTTCAGGTATTTCTTACAGAATTCTCCCTGCCACATAAACCTATGACTTGTGTGATGCTTGATCAGTTCTTTCATATCATCTCCCATTTTTTTTGTTTTCTATTAAATTACCTAAAGATCTGTATTTACTATCCAAAAAAAGTCACTTGTCCTTATCTTAAAGGTTCAACTGTTGTGTTCCCTTGCTCCCCCAGTTAATTAGAAAAAAAAAAAAGGCAAACTCCAAAAAAGAAAAACCCAGGCTCAGAATGAATCTCCCTTTTGATTTATATTCTATTCCAGTTCTAAAGAATTGAGATTAAAATAATCTTTAAAAATACCTCTAAGCCCACAGAGCTCTCACAGAGGACTGACACTGACTGCTGCAGGTTTCCTTCCAGGAATGCTCCATCCTCCAGGATTTTGGGGTGCCTCTCGAATTTTCAGTGATAACTTAGGGGGGAAAAAAGAAATCTTTGTTGGATGAGAATGTGGAATATACATTTCTTCCCTGAAGCATCTGGTCACTGCCAGAGTTACCCCATTACCGAGCCATGCCAGTATCTACCTTTCTTATATTTTAGTTATTGTTGGTTGGAGGCAACACATGTAAGAATGAAATAGAAGAAAAAATTCTCTAATTCTGCCTAAAGGGTTGAGTTTTGCAGAAAAGGATCTTACAATCCTCCAGTCCTTGCCTCCAGACTTTTTCCATTAGGTCCAAACCTGTACCAACGTTATGTCTGTTGAGTGATGGGTATAACTCGATTAGCTACTAAGAAAACCTTATAATAGCATTTAGTTAAATATTTTCTATACTGTTTAACTTAAAACCCTTCCATGTTGGGAGCTGGTGTAACCTTTCATCCCGTTTAACTCGTGAAATGCAGAGAGGCGGTTTATTCGGTGCATCAAGAATTCTAAACACAGCAGGAACACAGGACAAGAGGTTTTGTGAAAAAACTGGGAGGAGTGGCTGGGAAGAGCTTCCCCTGCCTTGGCTTAGCTGTTGGACTAAATTAAACTCTGCTGAAGTTCTCTCTGACCCTTGACTGTGCAAATAGGAATTGGTTTTTACCATGTTCTCCCAGCCCGCTCTGAGGAGGGAGCTGTACCCATGACTGTTCCCTCTCAAAATGATTCAATGATCTCGAGGAATAAGATTGAAAGAGTCTCATCCTCTAACAGGCAGGAGTTTGGCATCCTGATTCCATCTTCCACGCGGGACGGAAGGCAGGGCGATCCGTGCACTGCACACAGCGCTTCGAGCACCAAAATTCCGTTACAAAAATGCCGCGATATGGAGCCGATGTGACAAATCCCACACCGCAGGGCTACTACAGACGCTTCCCGCTCAGGTGGCGCCTTCAAAGGCACACACACACACACACAAAGGTATCCCGGGCCGGGGTTAACGAAGCCTCGTGTGTGCGGGAGGGCCTGCGGGGCATCCCGCGGGTGCGCGGGGCGCCGGCGCCGGGGCGGGCGCCGGGGCTGCGGCTGCAAACGGGTGCGTTGCCCCTTTAATTGTGTCCCCAGCCCTCGGGCGTCCGTGTCCAACGCCCACGTCAGCAAATACCTTTTGTTTCTCTCTCCCCTGCTCGGGCTGGCGGGGCGCGGGGGCTGCGGGAGCGGCGTCGCCTGCAAAGGCACGGCGAGCCCCGAGGCGGGGCCCGGGGGGACCCCCCGCACGAACCCGCCCGCCCGCTCGCCCCCGGCCCGCGGCAGCGCCCGCAGCACCGCCCGCCCCAGCGGCCCCTTCTGCCCCCGCACACCCGTGGGAAGGAGCGGGCGGGCGGGCGGCGGGGCCCGCGGGCTCCCCCCCCGGGGGAGCGGCGGCGGCAGCTCCGCCCGGGAGCCGCTCGGTGCCCGCCGGGGCTGCCGCGTCCCCGCCGGGCGCCATTTGCAGCCCCGGGCGCGGCAACAAAGGGGCTGCGCGGGGCGGGCGGCGAGTGCGGGGTGTGCGGGGTCAGGGGGGTGCGGGAGCGGGAGCGCCGGGCACGCGGCACCCGGGAGCGGGAACACCGGGAACAGCGGGCACGCGGGACCGGGAACATCGCGGGCATCGCGCGGCGCCGGCACCGAGGGGAGGCTGCGGGCGGCGCGCCCGGCCCCGGGGCAGTCCGTGCCGGGGATGGGGATGGGGATGGGAGCGCTCGGGCGGGCGGGTCCGGCGCCGTCGGGCATCCCGGGGACGGAGGGACCGGCTCCGGGGGACGGAGGCCGCCGCCGCCGCCACCGAGAGCGGCCCCCGGTGCGCCGGGCAGGGGCTGCGCCCGCCGCGCACCCGCGTCAGCCGCGGCTCTGCCCACGGCGGGAGGGCCGAGCGCTCTCGCTCGGTCTGAGAACCATTAACGCCTCGGCGGATGCGATCTTCGTTCTTTCGGGATACTAAGTAATCCCCGCTGGCGCGGCTTTCCGCCTCTTCTGGAGTTGTTAAGTTTCTTCTCTCGTGTTCCTGTAGCAGCCGCAGGGGCTTGGGAGATACATTGGGAATGTGATAACGTTTTGTGAATTGGAGCTCGTCTCTTTAGGGTTCAGCAACGCTGATGCAGATTGTCACGATGATGTTTTTTTTCTTTACAGCAAACCCTCCTCTTACTCCCTGCCTGGAATGGAGATTTCTTCTCACCAGTCTCACCTCCTGGAGCAGCTGAACGAGCAGCGGAAGCAGGACTTGTTCTGTGACTGCAACATCCTGGTGGAGGGAAAGGTCTTCAAAGCCCATCGCAATGTGCTGTTTGCCAGCAGCGGCTACTTCAAAATGCTCCTTTCACAGAGCTCGAAGGAGACGAGTCAGCCAACAATAGCTACATTCGAGGTCTTCTCTCCAGAGACGTTCATGGTTATCCTGGACTTTGTGTATTCAGGGATATTGTCCTTAACCGGTCAGAATGTCATCGAGGTGATGTCAGCTGCCAGCTACCTGCAGATGACAGATATTCTCAATGTCTGTAAGACCTTCATCAAGTCGTCCCTGGATATTAATGAAAAGGAGAAGGATCATTACCTCAGCCTCTCGGCCAAAAGCACGAGCACTGAGCCTGCCCGTCCCACCCTTTATCGCTCCAGGAGGAAAGCAAAGAGCAACCCCCGGCGTTCCTACTCCATCCCGGATGAAAAGCCCGGTGTGAACGAAAACTCCTGGAGCAGCTACGGCAGCTACCTGTCCTCGCAGGTGGTTCTGCAGCGGGCAGAGACCCAGCTGTCGAAAAGAGGCAGAAAACAGGGCTCGGGCAGGAAGCGCCGGAAGCACCTGGGCCTGTCCCAGAGCCGGGATTTGGGACAGTGCAAACCGGACAGAGCCGGCGCCTCGGATTCCAGCCCCATGTCCAGGGTCGGGGAGGAGGCCGAGTTCGATGCGGAGAACGACGTGGGTCGAGATGATTACGGGTGTCATCGCGGCTCAGAGGCGGTACCCAAGAGATGGTCCGTTACTCAGCTAGAACAAGAACTTTCCAGAACTCCCGAGTTCATGGAGTTAAAGGCGGAAGAACTGTACACCTCTATGCCCACAATTTTGGGTGTAATGAGTAGTTGGAACGAAGGTAAAAAAAAAAGAGGAACGGTTTGGAAAAGTTTGGCTTTGTCTAGGAGGATTCAGGTGATGTTTTGGAGAGAATTTGTATGGCTGCATGGAAACCAAAATAGTGCCTAGGCTGAGAGGTGAATTTATCTACTCAGGAATTTGCAGCCAGAACAGGGCATGGGAAAGGGGATGGGAGAGCGTTACCCAGGTATTCTGGTAAAGTTAAAACAAAACATGCCTGGTTATTCGGGCCCAAGTTGGAATTTAATGAAGCTTCAAGAGCTGTAATTGACTTGGGGACATGAAGGACTGAATTTCTCTTGTAGATCCCCAAACCTGGCACTAATAATTCAACCTCAATCCAACTCAATTCCTTCACATGAGAGGTCCTGGCATTGCTGGGATGTTGCATTTCCCTTGGGGTCCAACCAGCCCAAACTTTGTGGCTGTTTGGCCACAAACATAAAGCATCCAAGCTCCTGATGGACTGTCAGCATCTGCCTGAGAGGGTGGGATAAAGCTGACAGGTCTATTCTCATGTGCATTCTTTTGGAAATGAACATATTATTCATATTGTAATGGCACATTCTGAAGACTTCAGGCACCCTCATATATTAAGCAGAGATTATAAATGTCAAAGCTATGAACCATTAGCTGATGGAAAAGCTAATGGTTCAGACAGTACAAATATATATAATAGCTACATATTTATGATCATCTGTATGTCTAAAAAATACCCCCAGTAAGAAAGAAAACACTTTAAAATGACCATTTAACATGCTCAGTGAGAAGTACGGGCTTGGGGGGGAATAGATATATTTTACATATTAAATATATTTTATGTGTTTCATGTATTTTATATATTTCATGTATTTTATCTATTTCATATATTTTATAGATGAAATACATTTTAGAGAGGAAATACATTTTAGAGATGAAATACATTTTTGATATGAAATACATTTTACAGATGAAATAAATTTTACAGATGAAATAAATTT